AACACCATTCTTTGAAAGGAACCAAGATAATCCACTGTTTCCATGAAGTAACTCAACAACATCAGGATGATCATCATTACAGAAGAAAAAGGACTGTTCTCCAAATTCGGCATCAACATACAGTTCGTGATCTTCACGTAAGTTCTCCGGATTCTCATCGTCTAATGCCGGTATGGAAACATCATGCCACTCATCGTGATCGCGTCTAACCTTTGACTGATTCACACGTATCACTGCCTTACCAGTATTGGCTTGGACCATAGCTCCTTCTTGTCCAAGTACTGTGGCACGAACCCAACGTCCTTTATCCTTGAACTTTGATGAATCCTGAGTCCAAACAAAAACCTTCTCTCCTTGGAAATAAGGACCGTCACTTGGCATAGTCCTTCTTGCAAGATCTGCTCGAAGGTCCTGAGCTTGTCGTGCTTCTTGATGAGCTCTCAAAGCCACACGTTGTAGTTCCAAATTTGTACGATCTTGTGCGGCGGCATTAGCTGACAATTGCTCAGGGCTTGCGGTCTCAAGGTCAAAAAGATCTGGTGGACGTCTTCCAGTTGCTATCTCTATTGGTGAATATCCACTGATAGTCAACTGACAATTTCTTGCCCAAACTACCTTCTTGACCACTTCTCTGACCGTAACACCACGAAAACGTGGGTCATCCAGATCTACCTTCATAACATGCCACATACGTTTGAACAAACGTACAGCTGTCTCTGCTCGGTTCGGCCAAGGAGTTCTTGGCCCACAAGGACGTTGTTGTATACCATGGAACCTGTAGTATTCAACAAAAGCATCGGTGAAAAAGGCTTCGTCTCCTACGATGGCCTTTGGAACACAGTTGTTCTCATCAGACCATTGCCTCAATGCTTGGATGGTGGTTTGATCTATGAGGTCTTTCTGTGCCGTAGCCCAGAGAAGATTTGTGGCACCATCAAGAACAAGTAAGATGATATACTTGTTCTTGTGAAGTTCAACCTCACAATGATCAGCAAAAACAACATCACCAAAACATGAAGCTCTAATACCGGAGACTCTGGCTCGTGGCGGAGGTGCCACTGAAGTGTTACAAACACGGCAGTTCCTGACAACTGATTCATACTTCTCTAAAACAGAGTCAGGAAGCTTCAACATAGAAACACGTCTACGAAACTGAGTAGGACTCATATGGTAGTGCTTCACATGAAGCTTATAAAGCTCTACCTTGTCCTCCAGTCTCTGTAACATCTTCCTATATGCCGGTGTCATTGCAACAACTTCACTACCAGGTAATGGGATTGAAATCCGCCTAGGCTCAAGAGCGCCATCACCTGGTTCAAGTGGTTCATGTTTATCACTTGATGGTCCTTTTGATGCCTTAGGAATTTCTACAAGTTCACCTTCTGGCCTCTCAGGTGGTTCTGAGGGAGCATACTCCTCAAGATCATCACCCTTTAAATCATTCTGAGGCTCAGATGGTTTCGACTTGTGTCCTTTCCAAAATGGATCAAAACCCTTGGAAGTATACCGAAACTTCGGCGGCACGGGCTTTTCCGCGGCACTGGATGGTGCACCTTCCTTCTCTGAAGAGAAGCCTGGTTCCCTGTCCTTTGCAATGGGAACCTTCTCTGAGGAGGAGCGCACCACTGCATCGGGATCACCAATGCCACGGTGCTCAGTGCCAGCCTTCCTGATCTTTAGATCTGGAATTTTGGCATCTGGCTTGAACTTAAAAATTGTTCTACCACGCCATTCATAGCCAATTTGTAGGTCCTTCCATTTTGCCTTGCGCCAATCATCTGTCTTCTTGATCTCTTCTCCTCCATCTTTCTTCTTGATGATTGTCAGTCGCAAGTCTTCCAGCAAGTCAGTGTCTACAGGACAGGACTTAGTTGCTGGAAAAAGAATCTTTCTATAATCCTTGTGGTGACGTATCAGTTCTCTCTTGTGAACATCTACTTCCCAGTAGTCAACCACAGGATATGCATGTTCAGCTACATCTTCATCACTATTGTGATCAACAGAAATATGACCATATTCATAGTGAGTGAAGTGAGAGTAAAAACTCTTCTCGCGCCGAGTCTGCAAATTCACGTCAGACAGATACCATGCAATATCTTGGAAGTCCAAGACAAGATGAGTACTGGCTGCAACCTTCAACTCCAAATATTTGATACCAAGAGGCACCGATGTCAGATAAGCATGTTGAGGTGTCAGCCTGAGTTCAAAGCCTAAGTTCCTCATCTGTGGCAAGCTCATAAGCAGAGGGACTTCTCCTTCTTCCACTATGTCGAACTCTGTATGGTGGATCGTCCATGCACGATCATACATGTAAATCACCAGTTTCTGAGAGCAAGTAGCCTTCTGGGAATTGGCAAAGTAAAACTTGCTCTTGGTAGCCTCAAAAGAGTACCATAATCCACAATCTGGGTGATTGTCGACATAGTTGCAAAAATGGTCGACTGCTCGCCTTGATCCCATAGCTCTAGTGCATCCAATGTCCAGGATTGCAATAGTCGGCGGGAAGCGATTCTCAGTCAAAAATGAAATGGCCTGCATCTCCTTCACTTCTTCCTCAGCGCTCATAAGCGCAAAGCCATCAGGAGCCTTTGTGAGCATCTCCTTTGACAAAGAGTACCTCACAGGGGCACTCATGCCATTGAAGATCGTCTCACCATTGTTGACCGCGCAGTCAGCTTCATCTTGACATGAGGTCATCATGTCTGACAGCAAGTTCACCTCACTGTCATGGACTTCAGCTGCTGCTGTCACACAATGTGCAAAGAAACCTTGTTGACCTCCTGATGCTTGTGAAGATCTTGAAGGTGCAGGCAAAGAACGTGGCTGTTGTTGATTTGCATAGTTTGCATCTTGTTTGCCATCTCCTTTATCTTTTCCTTTTCCTTTCTTGCCTTTTCTCTTGCCTTTTCCTTTTCCTTTGTGGGAAAACCATGCTTCTTCAAGCTGTTGCCAAAAGTCATTGGCATCATCATATTCTCCTTGAAGATAGTCATTCATATCTTCGGCAAGAATGGCATCATATGCTACTTGGTTTGACTCCCAAGTGTCCTCATAAGGATTCTCTTCATAATACTCATCTGGAAAAGTTGTCTGTTGCTCATCAGCAAAATGGCCTTTACCTCGTCTCTTTCCTTTTCCTTTTCCACGAGGTCTGAAGAATCTGCGGCCTGATCTTCCTTTACCTTTTCCTTTTCTTCTTCCTTTTCCTTTGCCTTTTCTGGCTCTTCTTCCTTGGAATCTCCTTTGGAACCACGAGAAGTTTTGATCATCATATACCCAAAAGACATCGTCCAGGGCATCTAAAAATCCTTCTGTTCCATCTTCTTCATCTTCGGCCCAATAGCCAAATGTACCATCGAGTTCTCCTTCTTCCATCACGAGGAATGATCTTCTACCTCCAGCACCTGTCGGCTGCATCAAAGGATTGTCTACTGAAGTCTTTGTCGTGCAGAACATCTCAATGAAAACTGTCCTCAGCTCTGTTGTAGTGTATTGCTGCAGGACCCTGCCACGATGAGTCATCAAAGAAGTCAAAGTGTTTCGCTGGTCCTGAGACAAATCTGCAAGTGACAGCATGAGTAAGGCAATCAGATTTTCTCCTAGAGGAAATTCGTTCTGATGAAAAGTCCTCATATTGCCATTTATGGTCTGCATGATTTCCTGAATCCTTTCTGCCCTTGGTGCTACTCCAGTCAACGCTGCATCTGCCTGCATCTGAGCTAGGACCTGTGGATGTGCTTGAGTGACTGGTTCTAACATGTCCATCCAACTGCTCATAAGCCTTTGGAGTAAAATCTGAAATCTTGTCATCCGAATCCACTTCATCATGTCGGCTGATCCTCGATTGAATCGTACGAATTGCATAAGCCTGTATAGGAATACATTGGTTGATCCTTTCACAAAATATGGTCGTAGTACTCTCTTGAAGTAATCTACTCCAGCTCCTGGTGGCTCATTAGCCTTCAATGCATCTCTGTCTAAAACTTGCTTGTATACAGCTGCTTCTCCTTCTAGTCGGTTTCTCAATGCTGGTCCTCTCTTCTCATCCTCCAGCTCGGTGATATCACACCAATCGTCTATGGCATCCTCATAGGAAAACCATGAAGTCTTTCCATCATAGGATGGGGGCACCTTTGTAGTGACCTGTGTTGTCATAGCTATCGCTGCTGGTTCTCTTCTCACATGCCTATTCACATAGGCTGCTGGCTCATAAGCCACATCCGCATCAGGCTCTTCCCAGTCGTCTATCCAATCCATGGCTGTTTGCCCACTAGCAAGTCTATGCCTAGGAAAGGAGCTCACCTGGGTCTTCCAGGATCACTGCTCCGCTACCACTGAAAGAGTGACTAGGGCGTACACGGTAGAGGTGCAGACCGCTAGTGTCTTTTATGCGCAGAGTCTTATCCTCTTGCTCTTTGAGCCTTGAAGCAGTCAAGTATGGACACACTATATCGGCTGTTGGAGTGGAACCCTGTACAGGTAGGCTCTACCTTTCAGGGGGGGGGGGTCTAACCCTGATATATCAGGCGTTAGCACTCAGGTCCTGGGTTCCCACCCTCCTTGCTAAAGCAAGACAGACTCCAGCTAGCTACAGCTAGCTTTCGTGATCAACTGAAGCAGCCAAAATGTGAATGACACTGTACCCTAGTGATTGAATGCAACCCTCTATCTCGGCAAATCAGAAAATGGAACATTAAAACAGTAGCATGGCCGACATGGTGAGACGCTTGAGGCGTCATGTTCACACTCCACCCGACATCGACTGAACAAAAAGATGGACTCCACCCGACAGCACGCAATCGATTGAGTCTTAAGCCCAAAGAGCCCCCACAGAGCCCCCGTTTTCGTCTGTTCGGTGTTTTCGTCGGTTGCGTCTGAGGCGAGTCTCTGTTGGTTGACAAATATGAGTTCAAAGAGGTTGCGGAGACTGCCATCTGAGAGTTCATCTCACTGCTTTTCTCATCGGTTTGTGCTCTTTTTGAAAAATGTTTGGCCGAGAAGCTTTGCATGGTGATTCGGACTTGATGGGTGATGCCGCTCAGGATGTTCACATACACCTGAAAGAGTGTGCTTGAGAGACGGCAATTTGCCATGGGCTCAGCGAGACAGAAAAGGCAATCATAAATCATAAAAATATCAGAAATTCTTTGAGAGAGCAAGCGACCAAAGTGTATTCAGAGTCATCATCTTTCCTGACGCCAGCAAACGTGCCACAGCTGTGAGAGAAAGTAATGCAAGTTCTGCTTATTCTCTCTTTCTCCTTTCTCTCCATGACTCCTTCTCTGTTTATTCTTATCTCTTTTTATCCCCCTCTTTCCTTCTCTGTCTCTGTCTCTCTCCGTCTCTCTGCCTCCTTCTCTCCATCTTTCATTCTCTCTCACCCTCTCATCCTCTCGTTCTGTTCTTTCCCTATCTGCTTCACTAAACATGTGCAGCAAATGTCAAGAACTCAAAAAGTTATTGAGGCTTGGGGAGGAGTCTTCTTGTAGTAGGCCATGGGCTTGAGCAGCGTCTTGGCATCACGTATTTCCCGCTGCTTGTACCAACCCCTCTGAGAAACCTGGTAGAAGGGATCGCTGGCTACGTCGTGCCTCAAGCACGTGAGCCGGCATCCGAAGAGTATCTTTTTCGGTTGAGCTCAGTGGCTGAACCCAACCTGATCTTTCAACCAAAGTTGAAACGAGATATGAAGCTAAATGGGAAGGGCCTATATAGACCCCTAGACCATAAGACATTCCAACAATTCCACCTTCAAAAAAATTGATCAACTGCACACCAGCAGGTCTGATCAGCAACGCATTTCGACTGCCCACTTCTGAGCTGCTAAGACCAAGCCCAAATCTCGAATCCAAGTCAATCCATATTCCATACCTGCAAGGGCCTCCCCTCTCTTCCACAGGATCTCCAAAAAACCGGAGCCGGCATGGCCGCAGCCAGCGCCGGGATGCTTCAGCATGATTTGCGTCTGACCGAAACCACCCATCTCAGCGAACTTGCCCCGCACCGAATGGATGCGATTCTCCAACTTCCCATGAACAAGACAGATGTAGGCCTCAGGACTGGCAACATAAGAAGGTCGTTATCTCTTCCGCCACACAGATGTGTCCAGCAACAAGTTTTCCCGAACTTCCATGCTTTGCCCGCTTCATGTCATGACTTGTCCAGACTACCTCACTTGATGCCGCAATTTACAACAAACCGAACTCGTCCTACAGTGGAGGCAAAAAACTCTTGCATGTTTGGATCGCGGGATTGGATCGCTTGGTTTCATGGTTGGAAGGTCTCCGGTGGTCAAAGGGAGACTCCCTGTCCGGCCTTGGAAAAAATGTGCTCCTTCAACTGCACCTGCTGCAGGTGGTCCAGAAATGGAAACTCTAAGGAAAACTGATTGTTGTCTCGATTTGTAGGATTGACCGCAGACTTGAGAAATATTGAGATGACACAATCTCAATTGAAACACAGCACAGGTCTTGCAGGTGTGCCATGTATTTTCCTGCAAGCTTAGCAGGGTCTTGACAAAGCTTGCTTTTGGGTCACCAACACATGTCTCCACACTTCGGCCAAACGCGACCAACGGTTTCGTGTCAATCTTTGCTCCAAACCTCCTCTGTTCGAAAAGATGCCAACGGCGGCTCAGTGGCAAAAAAAAAATTCAACTGTGTACGCGGCAGACTAACCAAGGTTCCCGCAACGAGGGATATGCTACAGTTTGTCATGAATTGCCTCTCCTGAGTCTAAGTCCAAGGCTCAACTTACTCAGAAAATGTCATTGATGAGAAAGGGCAAGATTATGTTTCAATGGTAGATCTACCAAACAGAATATGAATGTGGGACTCCAAGATTCCAAGGGCCCTTCAGATGTTGATCTAAATGTGGGTCTCAAAGCTTGGGGGCCCAAACCCACCGTCAAATGGCCTCCTTGCTACATCTCACACCCACCCTCCAATGTCCACCAGCAATCGGCCCCTCTCCTGCAGGATGCGCTGCGCGCGATAGGTCTTGGCTGTGATCACCGGGCCGTCCGTCTCCAGGTCCAAACGCTGGATGAAGCCCCAGTCCTCTGGGACCGGGAAAGGACGGTTTTTCAGAAAGCCCTGCCTATCCTTCATGACAAGTTGCACGGAAGGCTTCTTCATGATGGGCGAATGAATGCGCCCACCACCACCACCAGCACCACCACCACCACCAGCACCACCACCACCACCACTACCACCACTCACCACCACCACCACCACCACGACGACGACGATGACAACAACAACAACTACTACTACTACTACCACCACCACCACCACCACTTCCAGTACCATTACCACTACCATTACCACTACCACTACTACCACTACCACGACCACGACCACGACCACGACCAGCACTACAACAACTACAACTACAACTACAACTACTACTACTACCACTACTACTACCACCACCACCACTACCACTACTACTACTCTCCTACTGCTACTGCTACTACTTCTATTTCTACTACTGCTACTGCTCCTACTGCTACTACTATATATATATATATATTATATGTGCGTTTTTGAGGAAAAAAAACGTAAAACCATCTCGTCATTTGTATAGTTCAACTAACATCATCTGAAACGCACCGGAGGCGGGGAATATGAAAATGATTAGCACCTCGTGGAACACCAGAAAAGGATCTTGTGAACTGACACGCGAATCTCCGCATATTCTTGCTCACTATGAACACAGCATGGCACCTGGCTTCACAAAGGTCCAAGTGAGTCTCACGTCATCCCTGCAGGTGACCGAGCAACAGGAAAAATGCATCATGTGAATCTTCGGCCGGTGTTAGTCTTCGCCTCACCCTTCCAAACCTTCCAGACCCTCTGCATGTCCTTCACACTCTTCTTGCATGGATCCGTGATATCCTCTCCTTGGATCCACCGGAGGCCTCAACTCTCGCACAGCGGTGCCACGATCACCTGGCCTGTAACCCCTCACCACCTGGGTGCCATGCTGTCCGAAACAGCGAGGGCTTTCCAGAAGGATTATGGTTGACCCATAGGGCCCCAGAAGGACAACCGAGTCGAGGCCACTTCTGGAACAGACCGAGGCCCACACCGAATCGAGCACCATTGCCACAACACCAAAAGCCATCGAAGCATGGAAAGAAAGCTCGGGTTGTCGTCTCAGGTTGTCCCGTGCATGTTTCTAGTCCATTCCACCAAGCTGGTCTGTGTTGCTATTGCCAACCATCAACCCCAGCGACCTCGGCACTTCAAAGCAAGTTGACAGTCTCCCTGCTCTAGTGTCCCTGCTACATTATGTGGTTGACAAATGCACCCGAGATAACCTGTCGCCACATTTGGAAATCGTCCCCCATTGGGGGGTCTTCCGATGCCTCCGCTGGTCTGCAACTGCGCCCAGGGGCCATGCGTGAGACCGTGAAATTCCTGAAGATTTGAGGCTCTGGGCTCATCCACCATCTTCTTCTGGGCTTCAGCCAATCCCTTTGTCTCAGCCGCCTGAGCGGCGGAAGAATTATGAGCCCATGGCTCTGGCACAAGGTCAAAGACATGGACGCCGGGTGGGTTCCTATTGAAACTTGCCACACCCATGATACCCAGGGCTGACCCCAAACAGCTTTAGCAACGCTTCCAAGCTGCAAGCCGCTGCACTTTGGCAGTCCAAGACCGAGGGATGCCACCCATCTGCCAGAGCCTCAACGGCTGAGGACCCCAAGAAGGGACACTGAGAGTTCACCTGTTCACCTGCTTTTTTCTTTAGGCTGTTTGTTGCTTTCTTTGTGTCTATATATATATGTGTGTGTGTGTGTGTGTGTTTTTCTGTTTAGACCTTCTTCCTAGACCTTTTTTTGAAGACTTTCTTGTTCTACCCAAAGTCGGGGTGCTTCCTGCCATGTCTGCTCGCCCAAAGCGATAGAGTCTCGGTGCACGCAAATCTGCCACGCCAGCAAATTCCCAAAATTAATCGATTCGAGCAGGGTGAACGGTGGTTGCACCGTCTGTTGTTTGGATTGTCAAATAAGAAATCTATACACCCATCACTAGTGATAAAAGTGATTTAGTAAATATCATATGTCCACGTGTATTAGTGTGTATATATATATATATATGTGTGTATGACTCTTGGTCTTGCATATGCATAGAAAAAGTGTTTATATATACATATATATAACTCTTCCTCTGCCCTCAACTCTCCCCTCCACACTCTTCCCTCCAGGCTCTTCCCAGTCTCAAAAGGCTTTTTCCATTGCTCTAGTAGGCCATGATATGTTTCTACTTGACATGTTCTTTTCTTTCAAAAGTGGATAAGGGTTAAGCACCAAAACAAGGAAAAATGCTTCAATGTTCACAAGGGTCTTTTGGTCAAGCTGTTGTTGGCTGTTTTGTCTTAATGTGTTCTTTCTATTCAAAATTTGTAGTTCTTAAAGACTTAAAAAAAAAAAAAACTGTACAGTACTAAAAAATTGTATTGACCTAGAGCAAATGCAAGAGGATTGATCAGCTTGCATCCATCCAAGAAATTTCTCTTTTGGCTTTCTTGCGACCGTTCTTGTTTCTCTTGTTTTGTGCAAGGTGCCACCAAGACTCAAACAGCAAATATGTCTGAGTCATTTGGACTGCTGTTTTCCCATGATGAATAGAGCTCTTCGATCAAGAGTTTCCCTAGTTAAACAGTTCTTTCCCTCCTTGGCTGGTTTGCCTCCTGTACTGTTGTTAGTTAGCTCTTCCTGTTTATCAGCTCTTCATTGCTGTTGCGATCGATTAACAAATTGATATACATATATGTATATATACAGTAAATATATATATTTATACACATGCCGTGTGGTGTCTTTGCGGCAACTCTTCCTCTCCCCTCAACACTCTTCCCTTAACACTTTCTGCTTGGTCTCATCGAGATTCTATTGCTCAGACCAGGAACATGTATATGGTACCCCCTTTGATGATACCCCTGAAACCTCATTGCACAGCTCCTGAAACCTGAAACATTACCATAACATAGGTACCATGGAGGGGTACCATTAAAATAGTTAAATGATGTTGAATTATAGTATATAATTTCATTATAGTAAGGCTTAACAATCAAGGCTAGTACCTTTCCCAGACTTGCAAGAATACTCTCACTATGCAGCTGGTCAACTCTCTCGAACCATTCATATATCAGACTTATGGCTTTATGATGCTTTATGATGCTTTATGCAGAAGTCGGTGAGCCTAGGTCACGCATCTCCAGCCGGGTCACGGTGGCTTGTAAATCACCCAGACCTCGTCCCGGTCGATCAAATAGCGGGGCTTGGGCTTGCCCCCCTTCACCGACAGGAGCGGGTTGGTGCCGAAGCGACCAAAGAGCTTCATATACTCGCTCGCACAGAGCTCCAGGAGTTCGGTCAACTGCTCCGGCTTGGTCCTCGGAGCAGAAGGAGCCACTACTAACTACTACGCTGCACGTGAGGAAGTTACTAGGGTGTCTGGAGCTGGTTTCAGGCTCATATCTCTCATATCCCTTATTAAAGCGGCCCCTATTCAAATCCCTACAGATATGGACTGATCACAAACAAGATCACTTTGGACTTCCAGCATGACCCCAAAAGTGTGAAGCGCATGGTCGAACAGTTGCAGTTCCACTACAGGACAACAGCATCTGGTCTTTGAGCAGGTGCGTGCAGTTGTTTGAGCCGAACATTTGGCTTTGCTGCTGCTGCCCATCTGAACGTTTGGTTAGCACATCATGGCAGGCGAAGCACAAGTCCGGCATATGGACGGAGTCAAGCTGCTTAGGATAGCACGAACAAAAAAGGACTTGGAACCTCATCGGAGTGCATTTGACCGCTGGCATGTTCTTCGACAGGGCCAGTTTCTAAAGCGCAAACGACCGACCTTCTCACATCCCAGGTGATGACCAGAATTGTCATGTGGCCACGACAAAACATGTGGCACGAAGAACGTGAGAGGGACCATTGTTTGCAAAAAGCTGAGACTCAGCAAAAACGCCAAAGTTCAAAAAACTCAAAATAAATGATACCGTCTTTGAGCGAGGCATCATTTTCGCCACCAGCTTCCCGGCTTTCTCCATAAACTGCTTCTGCGCCACCGCCGACTTCTCGGTGATTTTGAGGTCCATGGCGCTGTTCGACGGCCACGCAGGCCGTGATTCACACGCTTCGACGGCCGCGCGGTCCAAGCGGAACCGGCCGCTGCAAACCGAACGAACTGGTCGGGACACCTACGATAGGCCCTCGCGCTACAGTACCATATCGGTGATCTTCAGATGAAACAGTAAAACCATTCATTTGGCCAATAAATGTGTGAATATATTGTATGTGTATAATTGACATATATACCGACCCATTGGACATGCTGTTCGAATCTTGAGCCCAGCAGAATCAGCACCTGGCCCTAAAGAAGGCCGTCGCTTTGAGAGAACAGGACAGGGTCCAAAAACGGAGCCCATGCTTGGTTTCTGGACATGATGTGATTGAAAAGCCTGGCATAAGCAAGCCAAAAGAAGCCCATGGGCCGGGTGTGTTCATGTCTATCAGCCTGGTCCGTCTCGTTCACCATCATGTGGGTGAGGTCCTGCCCGGCTCAGATTGGAAGCCAAACTAACCTCCAATTCCAATCCATCAAATTCTTCTCTCATGGTGGTCTTCTCATCAGGGCGTCCCCTTTTAAGGGGCTTATGAATTGCGGGAGGGAAGAAGACATACAGTAACTGAAACTGTATAACATGGCCTGGAATACACTCCGTAAAACCAATGTGTGTCCCTCGGTTGAATCATTCTGGAATCCACTTCTGATCCTCACCCGGAGTTTCTAAGCCCTGCACCCGCAGCACACGGCGTCCATCCTGACGAACCCACCGCCAAGCTGCATCAAAGAAGGGACAAAACGTCCAAACTCCAGCCCAACTCCCAAGTTCATGTCCTCTTTGCAAACCACTCTCCTCTCATTCTCTTCTACAGTACTCCTTCCAAATGCCGCCAGCGAGGCCTCATTCTTCTCCTTTGTCAACCAATTCCGCAAATGCGTTGGATGAAAGGTCGCCTGGGCCGAGCCCTCCCCGTTTTCTCATCACCCAGTCACTGGGCACTCTGAGCCCCCAGCGTGAAGAAGCAGGACCTGGATGTCAAAAGGAACAAAAACGTACCACTCAAACAATGCACCATGTGCATGGGTTTGGTCTATGTGTGCATGTGCATCTGCATAATAGTATTTATCTATGTGTGTTGTTTATCTATGTTAATCGACTTGCTCATTTGCATTTATCTATATATATATATATATTGCTTCTGTAGATGGCTGCATGCATACATAACATAACATGACATGACATGACATGACATATATACATACAATTCCATTGCGTTGCATTGCAATAATCTACATTACGCTATGCTACACTAATTACACTACATACAAACGTTCAACAACAAGTGCAATACAACAATGCATCACATGCCCCAACCACAAGGGGTGAACCAACAGAACCCCGTTGTCGCCTGTCCGCGACCCAGACCCGCAAAAGTGCCTCAACCGCGCCTCGACCGCGTGGTGCTGCGCCGGGTGTTCCCACGGCTTCCGCACTCCCACCTGGACGAGTTCTCGGGGAATTCGTGGCGGACGAGTTCGTAGGGGCTCCGAGTGGCCTGAGTGGCCTTCGTTCAAATCCGGACCTTCAAATCCGGCGCTCGTGAGCGCCCTTTCTGACATTACTGTTTAGGGCCCAATGCAAACTGATGATGAAGGCCATCGGTTCAGAATGCCGGCTTCTTCTTCCCACCCCTTCTTCAGGGCCTTCATCCGGCCACATATCTTTGTACAAAAAGCACGAGAGGAGGCGTTCAGGACAAGAAGGACCGAAGATCGTTTCAGGACCACCGCTGTCGGTGGGTTCATCGCCTCATCGCCAGCGGTGGTATTCCTCTCACCTCCGGTGCAGCACGTCCATGTTGTTTCACTTTGATGTGGGTAGCAACAGATTTAGACAAACATCCCTCTGTATTTAAACAAACGTATTTTCGAACTTCTAGGCATGCATCTTTTTACTCAAGAGATTGCCAAAGCATATGCATACAATTACAAAACCATCGCGATCCAAAGTACACAGAGCATTTCCAAACTTGTTGCGGGGAGAGTGCAAACTGGCCAAACGTGTTCTGCCTCGTGCCCAATCCCCGGTGAAGTACACTGCGAGCGCGTCAAACAGCCCTGCACTCGCCATCTTGGCGTACAACGCCTGTGGCAGCCAGTCCTAGTACTGAGGTTCTACATTAAACTCATATATATATATATGTCATCCTACAGTGTGGTGAACTTGCGAAACATGCTTCTCCCCACCAGAGAAGTTTCTGGATGTTTACCACATGTTTGGTGGAACAAACATCAGGCTATGCAAAAGCACACGCCTGACGCTGCTCGGGCACAATCTGCCGGGAAAGTCTGCAGGCCTGGCGTGGAGAGCTGATCCTATGGGTTTTTCGGCTTCGCTTGCCAAATGAGGCCCATATATAGGGCCAACCCGGTGGGCCATTCCGGAGGACTCCAACTCGGTGAATGTAGTTGGACCACGTGTTTAACTATCTTGCTTTTGGACCATGTTCACGCATGTTCAGGAGGGTTGTCGGGCTGGAGGGGTGCGGGGTTGTAGCTATATACTTGTCCCCTTTCAGTGGTTTTGCAGGGAACAGAAGACGTGCATTGCCGGGGGCAAGAACGGGTAGTTTTCCAGGGCACAGAACAGACGAGTTGTTTATTAGTTGTTTTTTCTCGGGGGAGAGGAAAGTGTCGTTTCGTGGGGGAGAGAACAGTTGCTCGTCTCCGACGGAAGAGATGGGTTTCTCTGGGGCGAAGGGATGAGTTTTGACGGAAGCGATGACTTGAGCAGAAAGGGCAACTGTGTGGAGTTTGGCGTTTGTGGTGCTTCTCAGGGCGGCAGGTCCTCTTTTGTTTCAAGGTCATCCCTTTTTTTGGAGCTTCCGCGTTGGTCCGCTGGTTTTCAATGGTGTGCTAAGAAGGGTGCCTCTATTGCCGTTCAGATCCCTTATTGCTTCTCCCCAGTCAGGGACCGTTTCACATGTACCACTTCAACATATATAATTACAGTAACTCTCCCCATGTGGCCCTGCCAAGTGATCAGGCGTATGTACTGAGGTGAATTCGGCTACACCGAAGGCCTCGTGCACCCGTGAGGTGAGGCCCACGACGAATCATGCGAATTAGGCCTGGCGCACCATCCCACACGCATGTCAGATGCGGACAAGGCACATCCTCCAGGAACAAGAGACTCTGCATATCCTGCACAGCTCAAGCTGGGAAACCATCTATAATGAAGCTGGAGAAGTGTTGTACCATATCGCCGTGGGCATCCTTCCAACCTTGATAACGAAATGCAACAACATAGTGTTGTGCATGGTCCAGCAGCATAAAACATCCCCATGCCTACAGCTTCAAGGCATAACGCCGCAAAAGAACAAGCCTCCAGGCTCATACTGATGTGAAACTATGGCCGCCAATTCTCTTCCAATCCATTTCGGGCCCCTGACTGTTGCGAATTGCGTATCAGAGTCGACCTCCGTGTTGCTCGGCGGTCTCCCGGGCCTGCTGCCGAACTTGCTCCATGAGACGCGTGAGAACCGCGTCGGTCTTCTGCAGATGTTCTAGAATGGCCTTCCATCCCAGCTGTGGGGCTAAAGCATGCCAAGAAAACGCGACAAGCAAAATCATTCATTCAACTCAATTGAGACTCGGGTCCCTGCCGCTAAATTCTTGTGGATTAACTGCTGAAGAGAAGCAAAGGCACCCTGAGCCAGGAGAAGCTTTGCATGCATTGTCAAGCTATGATGCTCTATAGCACGTCCACACTATCCCGCGCTTCTGCACATAGATGATGTTGACATGCTCAGCTCCAGACATCATCGAGGGCCCGTGGTAGGACAATATCCTGAAGGATGAGAAGTTCTCAGCCAGCAGGATGAACTGTAGGAACTCAATTTGGCTGATACTGCAACAATCTGCAGCATCTGTCACGCATGGTCCTTACCTGACTATTTAACTATTTAGTCAAAGGGTCCTCATCAATCAGTGAGAAGACCTGAGAACCAACAAAGCGAAAGCCCATTCGGTCGCTGAGCAAAAAGATTGGAGGAATTACAGTGTCCTACCACTGCGAGGTACACAATGGAATTCGATCGAATTTGATCGTCTGAGTCTACCCCTTCCATCTCCCCGTCCTTAAGATACAGGAGCCGATAGTTCAAATGGATCCGCTTCAACGTCTCCACCTTGGATCAGTTACATGTGCCCCGTTTCCTCATTGTCCCCCGCGTTTGGCCTTGGATGGACGTCCATCATTCCTCCGTCAGAGTGACATCGTGAGTTTGACCCCTGGGCCCAGCACATCTTCAAAGCTCACCACGTCATTGAACTTCACCTTCTCTTTCATCACCTGGTAAGGCCAAGACTCACTAGACAAACGTAGACCATAGACCAAAAGGCAATGCCTCTCTAGGAGCATCTCTAGTGGCAACCACTGGACCCTGGTCTTGCCGGACTCACACTGGTTGAACCAAATGGCACGTAAAAAAATGGAAAACAGCCGGGAACATTCACATCTGCAAGCTCAACGAAAAGTGATATGCTACCAGCAGCAACCACAAGGTGTTGGTCTTCAACCAACTCGCCGTTCCTCTTTTTGTCTCCGCTGTGGAGTGCATGGTCGCCCACCGGAGGTCTATCTCCAAGCGCTGAACTGTGGAACTGACCTTGCCCAGAGCACGAAAACACACCAAACGTCAAGGCAAATTGGGGATCCAAAACCTTCAATTATGATAATACCATCCTTTTGATGTTAGGTCCCATGTCCTATTTTCGGGGCTGGACCTTACTTATATGAATGAAAAATTATTCCTCCGACTCGGATCTGCCGAGGAGAAAAGACTTATAGATTATAGACTTATATACTTACAGACTTACAGCCGCTCTTTGAAACGCTTTTGCATGTATACTGTATCACTGTATATGTGTTTTCATGAACTCTGAGGTTTGGGGAATGGACCATTAGCTGGTCATTCTATGTGTAGTACAGTAGGGTCTCTGAGTTCCGGCTTGCCTTCGAAGTCAACTAGGCTTGCAGCCCCACAAGAGCCGGAAGCGACAAACTACCCTGAAAAAGGACATACCCATCTAAAAAAAAACAGTATAAAGAAAAACATTATATATATATATCTACAGGTTGCAAGTTAAAGCAGCCCCCACATGTGTGGACATCACAGTTGGGCATTGTCGAGTGTCCAAGTGCAAAACACCCGCCTGGCTTGCAACATTCAAACTGACCAAGGAACAACCAACTTCAATGGAGATTGAAGACTACAGCCTTGCCTAAACACGCTCGATTTTTTCTTGTTGATCTATATTGAACTGATCCCAGAGGCGGTGCTGGTTGGTGAGTACCAGCCATATAGAAAACTAAGAGACCAGCCAATTGAAGCAAGCGAACGTAAATCTTAGAGGATGCAATGCGATCAACTTGCCTGGGTTCCCCGTTGCACTTGTGTAGAAGTTAAAGCATTCAGCACAGCTTAATGTGCCCCAAGGTCATCCATCGTGTGAATCTTTCATTCAAGTGGCAGGTACTGACCGTATTGGCCGTAGTTGCCGTAGCTCGGCACCTCAGCAACCATGCATTCGAAAGCCAGCAGCCAGCCATGCAAGCCGCCAAAATCCAACCTCTCTGACTTGCGTTTCAACTCAGGGATTCTCAAAAAAATGACCAGTGGCAATCAGTTTCTTCTTATGGATGAGACTGGGGAGGCCTGCGGCCAATCCTTCCCCGGCCGCCCCAAAACGAAACCTGATGAGCGGTGAACCTGTTCTCGTTGCAAAACACGCACCGTCAATCGTCAACCATGGCACCCACTGCCAACTGTTCGTCATAGGAGCCGCAGGCGGCATAGCCTTGCAAGGATCGGAGCCGTATGCCGATTGCACAAAATCAGCAATCGTCAGGAAGGCCGTTGAATAACCGGCACACACATGTTTGGGAAGCTCAAAAGTAGCCGTGGGAGCATTCCACGAACTAAACTTGAGCATTTTGCTAGTGGTGTTGCTGGTGCGCTGAGGTTCCCGTGTTCAACAGAACTGGGAGAATTACACTACCGAGAATAGACCCCAGGAAAGCAATTCTCGAAATGCAAAACCACTGGCGTTACGGTTCAACACAACTCTTGAGGCTTGTATTTCTTACAAGTCATTGGTCATACCCCTAGGAAGATTCTGGCAGCCTTCTTACCAAAAGTAGCAACAAAAAATTGGTGCAGAAAGAAGCTACTAGGGGCTGCTGGCCGTACTACTAGGAGCAAGGACGCTACTAGGGTCTCCTGGCCTTACTACTAGTGGCAATGTGTGCTAGTAGAAACAAGAAATAAATAGAATTAGAATTAATCTAAATCAACCTCTGAACACATGGCCTGGATCAAGCTAGGCCCAGGCATCGGTGAGAAGACCTGCGGTGGCCAAACAGGCCGGGTTTGGAAAGACATTGGACTAAAAGAGGGTGATGATTCTTGTTCTGGACCGTCACCTTTAAGAGAACATTTGGGTGTGAGGAAAGTGCGAGACTCAGTTCGTGTTGCTTCTTCCTGGGTTTGATGTACGCCCAGTTAAGCCCAAGACTTGAAAATGAGCCGATGCTCAAATATTAGGCCCATTCGGATGAAGGCTAAAAGCTTTCATTGAACTCCAGTCTTCGCAAACAGCTGACACACCTGGCCTGAGAGGTGGGGCTGTTTGGAAAGTCCTGCAGGAACAGGCGCTCGAATTCAACCCGCTCGATTTCTTGCATTCAAAGTACCGCTCTTATGACCACGTTGCGCATCTTGCACATACTCACTCATCGTCCACAGTGTGATCTGGATCGCAAGGCCACAAGGCGATCTCTCTTAAAGTATTACCAAAATTATCAAAAGCCAAGCTCGGCTGCTGCATCTGGCATCTACAGTAGAAGGCTATGACCAGCAAACAGAATACTTGTTCACTGGGAAGGCGTTCAGCTGGCTCAGAGCAGTTCCTTTACAGACTGATAAAGGAATTAAGAGATCTTCTCAGCACTCTGCTTTATGCCCTGAGGGATGGATCTCCTATCTACAGTAGCTGCCACTATGGCAGGTCGACGGCCACCATACCCACACTTCCGTCTCACCATGGCCTGGGCCAAGCACATTCCTTGAAACCGCGAGTGAGCGCCTTTGCACTGTGGCCGGGGACTGGAGAGCGAGTAGGGGAACTGCTCCCCATGCTTCCCAAAGAAGGTGATCTTGCATCCAGCAGGGCAACCACATCTGCCGGGTCAATCCTCGCCGATTGGTGTCTTGCAGCTCGGCCTCTGGTTTTGGGGAGCGTGATTTTTAGCAAAGCATACAAAACACGTTGGGGCTGTGTCTCCAATGAATGAGGATCAAGTGCTCCCTTCTGTCTGCAGGGGCTTCTCCAATGCGAAGCACTCCTGTCCATCCCATAGCTATGATGGCCGCTTCGCGACCAGCCCCATAAAAGGGCTTAGGCAACCATTGCAAGCTAGACTGTGGCAATGCCGTGTGATGCTCCTGAGGCTCATCAACAACCCAGTTGAAAGCGAGGTCCCAACACGGAGCGACTTGCCGACGCAGGACCGGCTCCTTAGTCGTGACAACATTTTATTGTTTCCGAAAACCGGCCATAAGCCTTTGCAGCATTGTAGAGCTCCTTTCCATAGGCACAACCAAGGTCTCAGAAATGTCTTCTGCATCAAGCAAGCTTGGCTCTGACAAAGCAGAAAGGGTGGTCCTTAGGTTTTCAACCAACCAGCGATCGAAATCGCTGAGCAATTGGTCGCAGATTCCGGGTGGACTGCAATGCAAGCAAATGAGCCTGCAGCACTGTCCCAGCTCGACGCTGGGCTCTCTGGTTTTCAGAGGAGCAGATCGTGCCCCAAACGGGCTATTGGATGGAACTGAGAGGTACTATTGTGGGAAGATCTGCCATAACCCGGGCTCCAATCCAAAGAGGAGTAAGACAAGCCCAGAGCAAATCTGCCAAAAATCCACAAATCGAGGTCATAAGGCTTGCCTGCAGCAAAAGGGCAAAGGCAGAGTCCAGCTAACAGGAGAACTGATGAGAGTGCGAGCTTGCACTCAAAAAAATCGAGCCGTCTGGTCTTTCTGGATCTTGGATCTTAAAGCCCACAGAAACACCCACTGCACTGTCTCTACAGTTCAGCTAGCATATCGAAAACCCTATGCTGCCTATGCTTTTACACCAACTGGGCAGAGAAGACTTTGGTAGAGGTAGTGAGCCGTGTTGAGCCGAGTTGGCGCAACCCAAAAGAGGGAGAGATGCTCCCTCCTGAGAGCCAAAGCTGAGGATCGCCCTGTGCATGAGCTCCCTTTGCAACGCGGCTGTCCAAAAGTGCCGTGAAGCTGCAATCTCCTCCCCCCACCAGTTGGAGTGGACACTGGGCAATGAGCCCCAAAACCTTGGGGGCCCAGTCCATACACCTAGGGCATGCACGACGTGCATCGATAGAAAAGGACAGCTAAGCTTTCAAGTGCCAACACGCTGGCCACAGGGTGGTGAATCACTCAATCTGTAGTGGGTCATTCCTGCGAGAGAATGTCCTAGAACTCAACTTGGCTAGGACTTCTGGAACATCATTGGTTACAGTAGATGTTCTTCCTCACTCAGACGCATGCTAGCATAACCAAAATCATACACAGCTTAACTCATCTGTGTTGTCATAACCCCTCCCCCTGTCAATGATATCTGCTGAATCCACAATCCCCACCTGCGCTTCTCGGATCTGCTCCCTGAGCTGGACGATCTGCTGCTGGAGGCCCACCTGGAGGACCATGGAAGCTGTTGCAGGAGCTGCATAGGAGAAACTGCTGGGAACCAAGAATTCCTATCATGCATCATGAGGGACCGTGTTGAGTTTCCTGAAGCTCGCTGAGAACCCCTCTTCTTCGGAGACTTCAGTATACGCCCAGTCGACCAACAGCACCTGCTTCATGTTCATGGGAGAAAATGTGATCCAAGCTGCTCCCTCAAAGGCCGCTCCCCTGCGCCCAGTTGAGGCCTCTTGGGCTTCCAATTGCCACTCTGCTTGTCTCAGCACCGCCAGCGCCGGCCGCATCGGTGCAGGCATGGGCATCGTTGGGGCGAGCCGAGCAGGTGCGGAGACGGAGCGCCTTGCGAGGAAAAGGTGCGGCCTGAAACGGGTCCCTCTGTCGAGGTGCGACTGCGAGGCATAGAAAAACTAAAAACCTATTTATTGGGCACATCTACTTCAAGGGCTTAACATGGGCCGTGTCAGACTCAAGCTCGCCTCATGCTTTTGGGCACATTTAGGAACAATCCACGGCCTATATCTGCCTCTGACCAAGGAACTGCGTGGGTGCGAGCTTGGATGATGTGGCAGCAGTGTCCTGCCATGCAATGAGGGCCTGTTTCCAAATGCATCTGACATCAAGATCTCCATATATCTCATGCATCTTGTTGATTTGGAGTGGGTCACGGTCGCACATGAGTAACGTATCCAAGGAGCATCCGGGGGTCTCCATTGCGAATGGCCCTCTGCCAGTCCTCTGGGCAAGGGCATCTGGAAAGCTGTGTGAAGGCCACAAGTGGCGCCGGCACCGGCTCCTGCTCGGCACGAGGCTCCTGACAAAGGCTTGGCACCCAGCGGCACAAAGAAACATCACCTTTCGAGTCAGGTTCCCTCTTTTCACCTCACCTTAAAAAGTATCTGGGCCTGTCAATCAAAAGAAGTCCAAAAAAACTGTATACACATGAATTTATCGACATGTGTTTCCAGCCAATGGCAGATCGTGTCATCGAAGGATGCAACTTCATGTAACACGAATGTGTGTGTGTGTGTGTACTTGTGTGTGCATGCAAAACTTGCCCCTACTATCACTATGCATTCACACCGTGGTCACAGGGTTACAGTACTGATCGAAACCTCGCGGCTCCCGTCATTCACACCACTTTTGCGTGAAAACCAATGCTCATTCAACCTCATCCCTAACACACATTGTACATATCGTGCAACATATATATATATATATCTGTGTGCGTGCTTGTGTTACGCTGCTAGTGCATACGTCGGCATACTTCTGCTCACTGAAGAGTAGAGTGGCTGAGAACTACGTCCATACAGCCAGTCCAATGTGGCTGCTTTCGAGCAGCCCTCCAATAAAGTTGCCAAGTCGGCCAGCTGCAGGTGCGCTAGTTTAGTTAAGTTATACACATGGCGAATCTGAAGGGTGAATTGCAGCAAGTGGAGCATGATCAGTGGTGGCTCCATGGGTTTGTACACGTGCTCAGCACGTTCCACACGCTCCACGCGTGGAACATCGTTGCCTGGCGCCGCCGCAGCTCAGCCGCGCCGGCCGCACCGTCACGCACATGCACAAGGTGCGGATGCCATGGCTGCGGTGCCCTGCCACAGTGGGGCTGACGGGTTCTGGACCAGTTTGGTTGGAAGCAAGCGCGAAAATAATAAACAAGCGCTCAGAACCAAAAGTCGGTGATCATGAAAATGGAAGAAAACTGGATTGTCCCATTCACACTCTGAAAAGTTCCTTCGCACTTGGCGAAACTGAAGCACCTAACAAATCTATCCTGCTTAAGTGCTGGATGGTGGAACAGCGGACTTTGAGACTTTGATCCTCTTCAACCGATTTGTCAACAAGGTCTCTTGGGATTGCCACACTCTCCCTTCCAAGAATTGCATTGCAAGCCTTTGGTGTTTGCTGGGGGGGTTCGGGAGTGAATGGGGAAGCCAAGGTGTCACAGGCTGAAATGTTTGGGACTGTTGGAGTTGGATCTTTTCGATTGGTTAAGCTCCCAAACAACCCGGCAACCCCACGCACACTTGCCTTAAGTGACCCGAGAAGAAGTTGGCAGCAGCACATGGTAGGAATATCCACCACCAACTACATTGCCTTGGTTTTCTGAAAGGTTGAGGGCAGGGCATCCGAATCTTCCGCTCAACCGAGTGGAAGGAAACCTGAACCTACCAAGCACGCTGGCCTCTTGGCGTGTATGCATGCTACAATGCATGCTGTCGAGTCAAGCACACGCAAGTGATCAAGTGACACGGATTCATTTCCCCAAGCTCGGCTGAGTCGCATCCTGGCGAACGAATGACCAGGCTTGAAGCAATAAGCCGAAACGGCTATGCTGGACGCAGTGCACACGACCGGGCCATGTCGATCCTCATGCGATTCCCTTTGGAGCGGGTCTTCGGTTCATCCAGCTGAGCTGCAGTTCTGCTGGGTGTGCCCTCACATAAAGTAACCGGTCATTCGGTCATTCAACAGCCGGCAACAGGGAGAAAACTCTTCGCCTCCACAAACGCCACAAAGGACCCTTCCCAAAACTATTGGAGAGGTGGCCCAGTCAAGTACTCCGCGTTCAAGTCAAATCATCCCCACGAACCCAGCACGCCTGTCTGTGTGGGATGCGCTTATCTAGTGGAAGGCTGTCGTCGTTCTCGAGCATGCCTAGGACCTTGAAGCTTGTGCACATGCAAGAGCATGCCCGCATTGTGTGCATAGTTCAGAAGAATAGCTTGGGGTGTTGTTGTCCTTCACTTTCCTGGGGTTCCTGTCCCAACTGTGACACACCTGGGGTGGTCAGAAGCACGAGGCACAGCTTGGGCCGGCTAGGGAGCGCACATCCTCGTACACATCTTCAGCCAAATAGCGCTCGGTCAAAGCGTGCGTTGACATCAGGAAAATGCCTGGGGCGCAGGTTGGAGTGGTGGCCTCCCGTCGAGCCCAGAGAAGCGAAGTGGAGTTTCGATTGTCCAACGCTCCTTTCAATTGACCGCTGACCGAGACACGCTTGACGATCTGGAAGATGTTGGTCAAATCTTTCTGGCTGTTCAGATCCTAACAGGGTTGCACAAGGTCTGCGCATGAAAAATGGATTGCTGGCTCCTCCCCTTGGCCCTGTGGAGAACCCTTTATAATCTTTATACACAAAACTCATGAAAATAAGGTCACGTTGACCGCATTGAGCTTTCGAAACGCCTGGGGATAAAGAGGATTTGCAATTGCACAACTCCGTTTCAATTGCAGCGTGCTCTTCCCGCATGGCCTCAGCGCTATGAAAGCTCTCCCGGAGCTCTGCCAAGAACTCCGCCTCTCCCATCTCCGCAGCGATCTGCTCGCGCTGGCCTGCGCGCCACCCGAGTGATGCGTAACACGTGGATAAGATGGAGAAATCACTGAGGTTCATGGAACAAGCCGACGAAATTAACCCCCCGGCCAGTTGCCTAAAGAAACCAAATTGTTCCATGAGTCCTTCCTCTGCGTGCATCATTGAAGGTAGGGAGCAAATAAACTCTGAAAATAGACGTTGATCATTGCCTGCTTGGTTCCAGCACGGTCACTGAACTTAGAAAGTTCTTCTGGTCCCAGGTCGTCGAGTGTGGACATGTTCTTTTCTGAGGGCCGTGCTGGGGTTGACCAGAGCGATGCGGCGCGCTAAGTCCTCACGCAGAGGAGTTGGCACGAACGAACTGGCGCGGACGGATGGTCCACAGGACTGGCGTCGTCTCCAACTTTAAGACTCCACAACGTATAGGCGGTGGATTAAGAGTACAAGCCAAGTGCCGAACTGTGGTTGCTAAATGTGTGAACTGGATCTACTTGCTCTCCGTAACTTTTTGCGAAAAGTCGAACAGTCGCGAAAAGTCGAAAAGTGCACGAAAAGGCAACGATGATAAAAAGAGTCACCCGCCAAAAGGTCCCGGGGCTTGCCGGGTCCTTTTGGCGGGCGTCTCTTTTTTGAAGGCGAGGCTGACTCACTTTGACACAGCTGGAGATGTCTGGAAAACGGCAACCTATACCTGCATCTGAAGGAGCAAAAGCAGCGTTTGGATCAATTCTGCTAGACTGCTAGACTTTTGTTGAAGCGCGCGGCATGTGACTGGTGTCCAAAAATCTCGAAAAGTCGAAGTCTCGAAAAGTCCAAAAAAGTCTCGCTATTTGCTTTCGCTTCCTTTACCTTCTTGACTTTTGACTTTTTGCGTTTTGCTTGGTGTCTTGCCAAAAGATCGTCGCTAAAGGATTTAGCGAGCTTAGCAAGTGCCCACCCTAGCACAACGGTCACAAAGTCTCCCGAGCATTCCTGGCTTCGTGGGGTGGATGACCTTCAACAAGGTATGAAGCCGGTTCTCACGCGCATAGAGCACACTTGGTTTACGTCGCACTGTTTTCTACCACTGAGCAGAACCATTCTACAAACCCGCATGGAAACCATCTTCAGTTTTGCAGTTTAGCCACATGACTCTTGAGCATTCACCCTACTACCCTCCTGAAGGTTTGTCAGCTTGGGAGGAGGCAGCAATCGCTTCTCCTCGGGCCTCAACAAGCAAGATGCGATTGCTTGTAGGGGCTTACCGACGGGACATTTGAGAAGGTGGACAGGTGGGCAAGAGTGGCAATCCCAGAGTTATCAACTGAAGTTCTTGCTATGCGTTTTCTGCACCATCCATATGTTGGGGATGCCTCCAAGTAAGCATCCCATCTGAAGCCCCCTCTGAAATCTCAGCGCGCGAGCTTGTCAATCTGAAGCTCTGGGCCCAGGTTCATGGCAAATGAGGCTGTAGATCGCTTGTGATCCCTCATCATCCTGGAAGCTCAAAGCCTGACGGTTGGACAGCCAGAGAAAAAGCAGAGTTCTCCCTATCATTGAATGTCGTCGTTGCGGGACTCTATTCTCCCAATTTGGCTCAACTGGACTCAGAAGCGGACAAGCCAAGCGCTTCTGAAAACATAACACCAAGTGGGCGACTGGGCTTCCCAGCCCAATCTTTCTGATCCTCCTGGTCTTCCCAAACGATAATGGTCTTCCGCTCCCCTGTCAGCAAAGGGCACGTGCTCACACTTGAGGCCAAGGGGGGGTGCGAAAGCTAGCGCTCCAGAATGGGAAAGTGGACGGCAG